AGAAAGCACGTCAACCCAACATTTAATTTTCTAGTATTGACACAGTGAGATTAAATTCTCCAATAAATGTTTTTTTTTTCCTGACACTAAAAGTTAAAGTGATGCGTTATAGTATATTTCACTACAGACTAAATGCTGCCCTCACCCCTATACTTTTAGGACTCAGATTGATCAGTTTCTACACATACTCATTATTAGTAAAGTTTCAGACTGTTTAATTGTGTTTTCTTTTTCCTGAAGTATTACTCAGATTAAAGTCTGCAACGTTTGAATCATGGGAAAGGGCAAGCAGGGTGCCAGGAGCAGAAAGTGGCACTTAAGTTTACTGAGTGCCGTTTTCAGCAGCTGCACAGAGAGATGTTCCCTATTCATGAGAGAGTGACCTTAGCACACTGTCACTGCTCCCCTCCACCTGCAGTGATTTATTGGTCACAGAACGCTGGGCAGCCGGATGATGTTGTGCACGGAGCAACACGTGACCGTCCCCCCCTTCAGCCTTTGTCCTTTCCTTTCAACTCGGTCAACCACATAAGGAACAAACACACACAAATGTACTGCCAAGAAAGTCCATCCAAAAAGCTATAATTGGCCAATCCTAACCGTTGAACACCAGGCATCTTTGCCTGGTAGTCCTGAAGCCATTTGTCAAGCCGAAATGCTGAAAACACGTTGTTGGCTCTGGCTTCTTTAATATGCCGATTCAACACCCCGTTGCTTTGGGTTTTGCACTGTTGAATGTCCCCTTGTTTAAAGGGGCTACACTATTGTCATTTTCAGGTTTCATAATTATATTTTGTGCCTCTATTGTGACTTGTTTACATGCTTTAATGTACAAAAAGTGCCTCTTTTCACCCTCTCTCTGAAACGAGAACCCAGTCTGCTCTGATTGGTTAGCTAGCAGGCTCTGTTGTGATTGGTCAACTGCTGAGAGATGATCCTTAGCCCAACATGTGTAATGTTTTGGAGCGCTAGAAGCGCACGTGTTACATACTGATGTCACTATATTACGGAAGTAAACAAAGGATTCCAATTAAGGTGTTTCAGGCAGGGGGAGGGGGGAGTGTGTGTGAGATAAACTTTGGGATTTTAGCCTACATATCATTGAAATGCACAAAAACCTATATAACACACTAGGAAAGGGAAAACCCAAGAAAGCATACTAAGGCCCCACATTTATTTTTTTCATATTCATGCCCATGCTTGTTACAACAACAAGGATAACATCATGCAACAATAATCTTCTCTGTACCCTCGGATTGTTTTATTTTTGTGGCGTCTCATGATTGTGTGGGGCTATTTTCATTTCGAGACACAGTGTGTATCAAAGAAGATGAGACTGTGTTTGTTTGAGGACACAAACAGGAGACAGGAGGTATCCTTAGCAGAGAGAAAAAAGAGGCACAGGAAACAGAAACAAAGAAAGAAAATGTAGAAAAAAAGCAAGCCGTCGCATATCACAGCACATGAAAATGGAGGAGCCAAATCACTCCAAAGTTCAGAGCAGCAAATGTTTTACAAACTACCCGGCTGCGGCAAACATAATCAACAGGATCTTGTTTATAGGAATTACATTTTCCATGCAGTGCCATTTAACCCTCAAAAGAATAGCTTTCATATGCATTAAAGGCACATGCTTTAAAAACTAGTGCCACTATACTGAAAAGGAATCTAACTTCGATACAACCAACGTTAATATCTAGGCCGTCTCCGATACCAAACTCCGGTGCTGATCAGGCTCCGGTGAACGGCCGCCCAATCTTTTTAGGACTAAACCCCCCAGAATCTACACGCAAGATCAACGTAATCTGCTTAGGGGGGCGTTTACAGCGTGGCCTCTAACACCTAACTGCCCGTCGTATCCCTATTTTAGGCACTCCAGCCTCTGATGTCCGACCGCTAGGATAGCAAAACGGAGTGTATAGTGTAGTAGGTGTTGGTGGGCTGGTAGAACCCCAGAGCAGTATCTAAACTGAAAACCCCGTGTCGTTGGGAGACCCCTTGGTAATTAGGGCAGCTTCAGGACCCACAATCCCTAGCCCCCAATTTTGATCCCCAGTTATACCAATCAAAACAATGCAAATGTAATATCAAACACAGCCAGAGTCAAACATTAATGTCACAGCAGTGACATTACCACATCAGCAGAGCATATGTCATATTTCAACATCAATCAAAACCACCTCAACCACAGTAACCAATGTGAAACTATAGTTTAACCTTAGCAGGGTTCCTATTCCCCTTAAACAATTTGAAATCCAAATTATCAACTAATGTCAGCCTTTTCCAAGGAAGGGTGTTCTTACCTCACTCTAATGGCGCATTTCCACTACAGCGCGTAGCTCGCTTTAAGCGTGCTCGGCCCGTTTTTGGTTGCGTTTCCACTTGGCGTAGTTCCGGCTAGCGGGTACTATTTCACAGTTTTTCTGGCCCCATAAAATCGAGGTTCTTTCCGGGCCAACAACCAGGCTGAGTTGGGCTGAGTATGCTAAACTAGAGAGAGAATCGCTGGCAAGGGGGCTACAACTACAACAAAATGAACATATTTGACCGTGATTTAATTGTAATACACGTTTCAAAATGATGCCGAAGTAACAACATACTGATACCGGTTAGTAAAAACCATGAATTAATGCTTTGACAAGTCTGCAGACAGACGGCAGGCGAAAAACCTTTTAAAATGCGTGTTTTCTAAATGGAGATCGGCTAAGCTAACGCAGTATATGCTCCGACCGTCCACACTCACAACAACGGCCTATACAGACATAAATAAACCAGCGACTGTATTCGCCATGACACAGACAGTCTGTGGTTTGTACTTGTTTAACTTTTGTCTAGTTTCTGAACAGATATGGTGAGCTTGAGTGCTAACAGCTAACGGCTGATGTTGTTTTTCTGTGCTTCTCATTGAAGATGACGTCACGGCTCCGCCTACACTGCGTTATTATAGTTACTGCCCCAGCTACTAAACTGTAATGGAAACGCAGCATAAAGTGAGCCAGTCCTAACAAGGCCTAACGAGGCCTAGCCATACCGAGCGAGGCCGAGCGAGGCCCTGTAGTGGAAATGCGCCATAAGACCAAGCAGATACCTTCAGAGACCACGAGAGAGACCAGGAATTGGATCGAAATGTACAAAGTACAAACCGGTTTTATTAAGGTTTTAACAAAAATATAGGATTTACAAGAATCCAAAAAATAACAAAAACACAAAGTCAAAATACAAAAACAACAGGTTCACAAGTCAAATGTCCTAAAGCTGTCTAAAAGAGCCCAGTCCCAGGGCCCAAGACCCGGAATCCAGCTTCCAAAAACTTCCCCCAAGCTCTCAATCCTCAAAAAGCCCCCCCTTTCTCTTCACACATCATCTTTTATAGTCTCTTGCCTCCTCCCTCTCTGCATCAGGTCGTTTCCCCTTTTCTATCTTTGAGGGGAAAGGAGGTCACATATGTTCAACTTTTACTTAATGAACAATTAAAAATGTAAAGTTCAAATTAAAACAAATAAAGACTTATAGTAGTAATATGCAATTTTAAGAAGAGGGAATATTAACATTTTTCATGAAAGCAGAACACATTGTCAATGTCATGTTTAGAATCAAGTTATTTTCTTTAAACATTTAATTTCAAATATGCAAACTTTATACTTTAATTTATTAACAGAGACAATAAGGACAGCTTGTCTCTACGATTCGCTGGCCCAGGAAGTTGATTTGAATCTTTGCGTAGGCCGCCTGCATCCTGTGCTTCATTGTTTTCATACCCGCTGTAACCGCTCTCAAGGTGTCAAAAACCACAAACGCCTTCTCAGAATTGTGGTTGGAACTTTTACGCTTTTATTGCACCATCTAGAATGCGTAGTGCGCATAGGTCAAACGTTCAGAATGTTCTATCTAGTTTCCCATGCCTGGTTTCACATGTCTGAAAATACATGATGGAAACATACATCCTTTCCATTTACAGCAAATGTAGCATATTTTTATCAATGGTAAGAGGTAGTTGAGGTAAAGGTCAGGTCTGACACGGCCACTTAAACAGCAGAACTGTCAACAATACACTTTGAAGTTGAAAACTCTACATATATGAAAAAAACGTGTGTGTGTGTGTGTGTGTGTGTGTGTGTGTGTGTGTGTGTGTGTGTGTGTGTGTGTGTGTGTGTGTGTGTGTGTGTGTGTGTGTGTGTGTGTGTGTGTGTGTGTGTGTGTGTGTGTGTGTGTGTGTGTGTGTGTGTGTGTGTGTGTGTGTGTGTGTGTGTGTGTGTGTGTGTGTGTGTGTGTGTGTGTGTGTGTGTGCGCGTCAACTGTAAGTGTGTGTTTTGAGAGCTAATGATGTGTGGAGCATTGCTCTGTGTCTCTCATTCAGCAGCAGATGTTGGCCTATTATCCGAGATTTTTTTTTAGATTCTTCTTTTTTTTTTACATTGTCGCTTGGTGTGTGCAGGGAATAACAATCACTGTAAAACTTCCAATCAGATTCTTACTCAGTCTAACCAAGAGTTCCAGAAAAATACAGGAGCCTGCCTAAATCTAAAATGTGGATTGATGTGGAGCATCGATTTTGTTCTTTACTATCCCAGAAAGAGTGTTTTATTAAGAACCCCAGGCTGATAATATCCTGACTTCACTGCTGTCTCTTCTGCCATCTCGCCTGTGGCACGGATTTATCTTCAAGGCTGATTAACCTGTCTATTTTCAAGTCCAGTTGCCATGTGTTTACGACAATCTGTGCTTGAAAAGTCAAACTGTTTGTCTAACCCCACTGCAGTGCTCGTTAAATTCCGTTATTCCAACCCTGTTCTTGGTGAACCAACATTTCTCACAGTTTTATTTCTCAATGGTCTCACTCTCCACACAATAACGGTCGGTATGTTTTCATGAGCGCGGGTCGCTGAGAATGATCCCAAGGTGGAAAGAGCTGCAGTGGCTTATTATAGAAGATGGATTCAGTTTTTGACATCAGCATAAAATATCTAACAATAGCTTTCTCTCTCTCTCTCTCCCCTCAGCCTTATCTCATCGAGACGTTATTACTTTGAGGTCCTCCACAAGCAGGATGACAAGGGCTCGGATCACGTGGAGGTTGGGGTAAGTGGAGCTATCCAATCATGTGAGCTCTCTTCCTCCATGCTTCCTTGTCTACATCTCATTTCCCTCTTAGTCATTTTATTCTAGCTGACTCTAAAAGGGACAGTTTGAATATATGATATATATACCATAAAGCAGGAACTAAACAATGTACTGATGTGGATGGGATGTAAGCAAAAGGTGTTTCAGCAACCTAAATTGTATGCTATATGTAGAAGATTTCCACCGTTTCGCATTGCCATAAGGCATCACATTTTTGACGGGGAGCTGAAGCTATTATAACATCTATGCTCTCGGCATTGCCTCTAGGCTCTATCGGGATTTGATTTTAATTTTACCTTGCAGAACAAAGGGGTTAGTCAGGTGTACTGCTGCCTCGATCAGTAAGTTTGTTTCTGATATTGTTTGACTTTGTTAGTTAGGATTCACCAAAGTCACACAATACAACGGATTAACTAACCAATGAAGGCAGCAGTAGACCGGCAACCCCTGTGTACTGTGAGGTAAAACTAGTGTTTTTTCACTGGAGTCTGGTAACTTTGGTGACAGCATAGATAACCATTTCAAAAAACAAAGACTCTATATCCGTCTTATGGCAACTTAAAGTGGTTAAGATGTTCTGAATATAGCATACATTTACACAAACATTGTTTTTAGGGAGGCGTGTGGCGTAGTGGGTTGTGCGTTGGTGTTCGGATTAGTGGGTCACAGGTTCAAACCCCACTGCAGTCAGCATGTCGTTGTGTCCCTGGGCAAGACACTTCATCCCAAATTGCTCCTGTGGGGATTGCCCACAGTTTTGAGTATGTAAGTCGCTTCGGATAAAAGACATGTAATGTAATGTAGTAGACATGTTGCTGACATTCCCGTCCACAGCAGCACGTTGCTTTCCTTTTGTGTGGTAACTTTTCTCTAAACTGGAGGCATGCATGTACAGTATGTAGTGCATTGACTATGGATAAGTACCATCCCTCAAGCATATGAAAAGGCTTTCACCTGTCTTGAGAAAACTTGACCTTTGGCAGGACATTTGCATATTCTTGCTCCTACCCTTTGTTTAACAGTGTCAGAGTGCTGGCTGAGCTGGTGGAAATATCTCCTCTCCCAACTTTCCTGTGCATTCCGTTTCCTCCTGTTTCCATGGTCTCACCTGATCAAACCTTCATGCATGGATACCCTCCTTTTTTCATGCTGTCTTTCGCTGCGAAATGGTATAGAGCAACTATTTCTTCTACTTGTCTTCCTCTATCTCTCCCACGCCACTTCACATTGTTTTTTCCTGCCTCTGTCTTTATCTTTGTTCTGTACTGCCTCTTCATCTCTTTCCTTTTTCTCTTCACGTCCACATTCACTTCTCCTCTGCACCATTTCGTTCTCAGTAGTGGTGTTCTGCACCTCAGGCAAAGCTCAGAGATGAGTGGAGCTTAATTTCGAGATGAAGTTTCAAACGAGAGCCCACACGCCTTGTGTGAGCCTGTACTTTGAGTGGGAGGGTACAGGGAAAAAAGAGATCACTGATGTGTGTGTGGAATGAGTCTCTTAACAAGCCCCAGGTTATCGCCATCATGGTGACCATCATCATCATCAGCAGTGCTGCTAGAGTTTTTCTCTTCTTTCACAAAACTTTTGTGTCATATTTACACCCTGGAGGTTAATGATTTTTTACTTCCCTCAGTCTATCTTTATCACTCACAAACTTTGAGTGCTTCTGGCTAATTTCCTCTACCTTTATTTATGTCTTACTGTTAGTTCTTGTTAGTTTCTTCCTGGGTGTTTTTCAGAGGGGGAAGAAGTACTCAGATTGTGTACTTAAATAAAAGTAGAACCACCAGAAAGCAGGAATACTTTACAAGTAAAAGTCCTGCATGTTCAATTCCTCATTATGCAGATTGGCCCATTTCAGAATTATATGTTTTGATTATAATTATTGATGAATTAAAGTGTTTATCACAGCTCGTAAAGATGGAGCTAATTTAATATCAATCATTCAAATCTGCAAAGTAACTAAAGGTATTATAATCAATGATGTGGAGTAAAGATACACTGTTGACCTCTGAATTGTAGTAGGGAAGAAATACAAAGTAGCGAAAAATGTAAATACTGAATTAAAGTACAATTACCTCAAATTGTACTAAAGAACAGTACTTGAGTAAATGTACTTAGTTACTTTATACAACTGGTCTTAACTTTTCTGTCATACTTTTGTTTTTCCAACCTGGCATTCATCAATTCAACACTCTCTAACTTTTGCCACACTTTCCACCCCTGCTGTGTCCTTTCAGTTTTTCTCTTGTGTCTTAAAACCTTCAGTCTGTGCAGTGTTATTCTGCTCTGTGTGGCTCCTGGGTGCAACTTCTTAGAGAGGAGTTGACAGGGTGGTGTGAGGAGCACCATGCTGAACTCCGATAGCTCTGTGGTGCCAAGAGGATCACACTTGAACCCAATGAAATGTGGACTGATGACTTTGTGTGTATGTGTGTGTGAGAGAGAGGGAGGCATGCATCTACTTTACAACCGTACTGACACTTGGATCTCCGTTCTGTCTTGGTAATGGTGAATTTGCTGGTAACTTCTTATGACAGTGTTTTCACATGGGCCGTATGGCAGGTCTCCCAAGTGCTATGCTGTTGCTATGGGATGCTGTGGGTTCTTGATGTGGGTGTGTTATGAATATTCTGCTGATGATGTGCAAGTGTGACTAATAAATTACTGCCCGTGACGGCCACATCCCAGTGGCAAACAAATTAAACTTTATTTAGAGAGCCTCTGTATAGAATAACAAACTCAGTTGGTGGGACGCAATTCAATAACAGCAGAGAGATATTCTGGTATTATGGACTTGTTGCTGGACTTGTGAAGCAGACTGGTCAATGCCAATGTGGAGGGTAGAGTCCTATGGCTGGATAATGTAAACCTCTGCAAATCACCTCAATTTCAATTATTTCAACGAGACATCTACTATTTTCTTAATGCAGATGTCTCGGAAGATTAATCATGCATGATCCTCTTGATGATCCATTGTTGAACCTGGCTCCGTTTTTGGCAAAACTGAAGTACTTTTGGTTTCTCCCAACTCCTGAGAAAGATATCAGTTCATAAGCTAGTCACAATCTTTGTCTGTTTTATCTGAGCTTTCTTACTAAAAATGGCACAGGGTTGATGAGAGTGGAGAAAGTAAGAAAAACACTAAAGCTTTAGCCTGTCACATGAAAACAATGAGCTGAATGAAGACAAAGCACGCTGTAGAAGTGTGGGGAACTGCAAAGTTGTCAATAAAGCGAGAAAATGCTAAATAAATACACACAGTCTTTGGCACTAGTAATTAAGATTTAACTAAATATTTGGGTCTCTTTATAAAATCTTATTCGGTTGATCTAACGACGAAGAACGAAGAGCTGACAAACATAAATAGAGGAGGAAAGAAGGATATGTGTGAAGTGAACTGAAGGCTTTTAATGAGGTATTTCTGTTCTCTCTACCTCGAAGTATTTCTCATTCAAATCATCCAGAACATTTTCCATGTGATTATGTCTACCAGTGAATCAAGGTCATGCGGAAATCTCTGCCTCTCTCTCTCTCTCTCTCTCTCTCTCTCTCTCTCTCTCTCTCTCTCTCTCTCTCTCTCTCTCTCTCTCTCTCTCTCTCTCTGCTCTTCCTCTTAGCCTACTACTCATGAGGCCATCAAAGCGGGTTTGTACCAGTAAAAACTATTTAATGAAGCGTATAAAAGTCATGCAGCAAATCAAGATAGTAGGCAGGAATGTGTGCATGTGTGTACGTTGCGCTGTCTTAGTAAGGCCCCTGTGTGTGATTTAACAGCGGAATACATTTAACACCTTGACAAAAATAGCAGATTTACCGTGACCGACCCACAACAGCATAAGCCCAGGGCTCACATAAATCCGCAGAAACCCAGGCACTCATTTGTTAAAGAGCAGATAGTGTGGATTCACAGCTCTTTCCTCTGTGTTCGGTGCCAAGCTCTGATTGCATGGCCAAAGGTGGGCTGTTCCTCTGGGATAGTATGTGTTCAGCAGCGCTTGTTATAAAGAAACAAGAGAGTGTAAATATCAGATAGTACACAAGCGCCGTCTGAAAGTTACCTTTTAGGCAAGGAAATAAGAAAGAGAAGGCTTGTTCTCTCTGTGATGGCCCCTTTCTTTTCCACCGTGTGAAGGAATTAGGGAGAATCGCTGCAGGAAAGCGGAACATAAACAGCATTAGAGACAGGAAGAGACAGGTTAGGAGTACACTGTTCCTTTCTCCAGGGGATGGAAACAACTGCATTTGTATGTATGAACAGCACACCAATGAATGAGGAGATTGTTGAGTTGTTAGGATGAGAAGGCAATTACTAAAGCTGCACTCTGACTGAACCTTTCCACTACTACCTCAGTGTTTTCTCTTCAATTAGCTTCAAATAAACTCTCTCTAAAGTGATGACTGTTTTTTTAAATGGATTACATGAGATGAAAGAACACGGGGTAGGTTTCATAAATGTCATCTGGATCTTTGTCGGTGACACACGGGACATTTACGCCGGCCTAATGGAAAACGTGTCTCGCTACACCATGTGACAGAGTGAGGGAAAGTGTCGGCCATTAAACGGTGCGATTGAGAGAAGGAGGGAGTGGGACAAGGAAGAGAAGAAAGTCACGCCTTAATTAGTAATGGCAACTTTATGGAGAGGCATGGGTGTTGGATTTAAATGCAGGACTTTAATGGCCCTCTTTTATCACTCCTGCCAGACCAAGTCTCACACTGCCGACCAATTAATACACACACCCATGTATGCACACACTCAGCCCCTCAAACACACTTCTACCCCCAACGCCTGCAGACTCATGGGTGAATTCACTCAGGCACAACCGTACACACTGGCACGTGCAGGCCTCCCAACATCTTCCGCACGCCCTGCCTCCTCAATATAAATCAGGAGTGGCCATTGCGACCTGGAGCCAGCTGTTAAAATATATTGTGTGTATAGTTTTACTTTCTCT